AAAAACTTTTCAGTAAGCTATCGATGCTCGAAACACGTACTGATGATACAGTTCATCTTTCGAGCATCTTTAGCTCAACCTGTTCTATGCTTGCTTCTTAATTCTAGGTATCCACGTTCGAATTATCGCCACAGCAGAGTAAGTTGTTTTAGTTTCTCTCTTCTTTAACTCGTGAACCTTGACATTAAGATAGCTGTGGACGGTCGTGTGAGAGCATGAAGACTCTCTGTTTAAGTCAGCTCGATTGTGAATTTTATTTTGAATTTTTTCAGATTTAAAAGTTTAGCGCGTTTAAACGCATTGGAAACTAACGCGTTTAGCAGGATGTTTTTTGTCACATTTAAGGCGTTCAAATGCGTTAAATTAAAACGCGCTCTAGCGCGTTTTTTTCACAGAAAAAGTTTGCCTGGGATGTTATAAGGAGCAGAACAGGACAATTATTTATTCGTTCATTTGGTTCTAGGATTGACCATACAATGAAAGTAACCGTTGAAGTTCCTATAAATATTTTACAGTAGATAACAACAGAAAATAATATGTTACTTCAAAAGAGTGTTAGTACCCATCATATCGATAACCTTCCGGATTGGAAAAGTAGTATCGACTGTACTATATTTTATCTTATTTTGCTTTGTTTTTGAAGTTGAAAATGTAAAAATATTCCGTTACGGAATTCATATCAAAATTTGATGGTTTTTTTCTAGAGATGCGTCAACCGAGATTTTTGCATATTCGGAATCAGCGCGACGAGTTACGTTGTACGGCGCAAAGATCTCGTTGGGACCCCCTCCATTTTTTGGATCCGGTGGCTCCGTTGGAGGTTTCACGGTATATTACGCTATATTCAGCTGTAGACATCAAACACACTGCGTTCACTTTTCTTTCCTTTGATCTTATTTTTCTTCCGTCCCATATTTTTTTCTTATGTGCTCGTATATATGTGCACAGCGCTTTATTTCTTTTTAGAGAAAAAAAGACATTTTCTATTTTAATCTATATATTCATTTACTCAATGTCCAAAAGAAGCAGCGCTCATCCGATATTCTGCCAACTTCTCAGATTAAAATTAAAGTAACTAGAGAGGGTCCATTTCCAATTGTTATATTAGTCTGAAGTACACAAGTTGTACTTTAACGACCTTGGAGTCCAAGGTCGTTAAAAATCAGTCGAGCCGTAACTTCAAAATTTTCCCTTCTCATGCCGTATTTGCATCTGAATCTTTTTAGAAGTACAGGTGTGTGCTCAACTCGGAAAAAATGCACTTCCCTTCCATAATCTAACCTGTTAGATGAGGTTTTTGTCCCCATGTAAAATTTCTCTTTTACTGTTTGCTATATTTCATCTATAGCTCAGCCGTCTATTTCTAGTTGTCACTCTCTTTTTTGTGTTCAATCACCTTTTCCATATAAGTACGGGTGTGTTTGCTTTCGTAATGTCAAAACAACATTGTGTGTGCATTTCAATACAATCAGTTCAATACAAGAGTCAAAACAAACAAAACTCCTGACTTAAAACAGGTTAAGTTTCAAGCTAAACAGTCTCTTGCTTGAAAAGTCACAAAAAAGGTGGAATTCTGTAATAGAGTGTATTTTGAGATTTTTTCGTAATCTTGTGAACGAATTTAAAAACCAGTTAGAGATTCTGAAAGCTTGTCGAAATTTACACAGCTCTTATCTGAAATATTTCTTAACGTAGTGCTTTATTTCGTAGCAAAAGGGTACGTTTCGACACATCTTAAAAAGGTTGATTTTTGGGAAATCCGTAACGGCTATTATTTTTTTTATCACTCTTGTGCAAATGATCCAAAGCGGCTGTTCTACAAGAAGTAGAAGACTCCGTGTCTTCTATGTGTGGTAAAAAATTTCTTTTCTGTGCAGTGAGATTGAATCTCTCAGATTTTAGCTAAATGTGATTTTATTTTTCAGATACCTTTATTAATACTCTTTCTCAGAGATATCTTATCCTTTTTGTCTTCGGTGATTTAGAATGTACGCCGAGAATTTAGACTCAAAATATCATATTTCCAAAATGACCTCTTCAGAAGGGTAAAAGTAACGCTTTTAAGTATAAAAATCAGATTGCCCATATAAAAAAAGAGTTATCGCAAAATTTTGGTAAATCTCTGCAGATATTAATTCTGAAATAAGTACAGGTGGCGCCACCATAATGACGTAACTTGTGATTAATTACTTTTCGTATAAATTGTATCAGGGGTTAACCAAAACTTTGTGATAACTCTTTTTTTATATAGGCAATCTGATCTTTATACCTTAAAGCTGTACTTTTACCCTTCTCAGGGGTCATTTTGGCAATATGTTTTGTTGCATCTGAGAAAAATCAGTTTTACTAGAAAATTGTTCAGTGAGATTAAACTCGTTATATTTCTATGAAAAATCCACTAAATTTAGCTTTATCATATACCTTCGCCATATTCGATTAATTATACTATGTCATTATTAAGCCTTACAATCTTACACTTTTCTAGCTATTGCATCTATATGTTACATATGCATAACATCTCCAGAGGATGTCCAGAATATCTTCAGGGGAACTTCAGAAAACCTTTCCAACCTTGCTCCTAGAGGTGGTGTATAGTGGTTTTATGTTACACCATGTTAACTACCACCACAGCATTTTCAGCCCATCGAGTTGAAAAGTAATTCGGTCAACAGGATTGCTCCTAGAGGTCACTCATAGCCGTTTTCTGATTTGCTCGATTCGATTACCCATACTCGCTCATTATCAAGCCTTGCAACCTTAGACTTGACTAGTTATTGCATCTTCATGTTATGCGGACGCCGACGATGACGTTTATTTCATATGACCCTAGATCTCCAGTCAAGGGAATATTAATTTATTGTATAAGAAGTCCATAGGAGTTCATGGTAGTACTGTAATCCGCTGTCCCCGGAGATTTCTAAGTGAAACTGCGAGGACAACGGATCGACTTATCGGAAATTGAAATTGTTGGTTTTCTTGAATTTGGTTGTCAATTGCGTGGTGACCAAATGTGATCATCAAGGAGAAGAATATCTCGTCGGTCATATTCAAACGACAACGTGGGATGAGAATCAGCTTCGTGAACGATGTCGCTCTCGCGTAATTTTTTCGGTACTGTCCCACGCTTTACATAAAGATCTGCCACAAAATTCGCAACATATCTCATTTGAAGAGCATTTAATTCTGGGTAAAAATGTCCCATTCAAAAAATTTTAAAACATCGACATTGAGTCCTAGGGAGGTCCGACATTTGGGAATTTTATAGATTCCAAGACGTTAATTATCTCAGAAATGACAAAAGCGACAAACCTGAACGCTTTAGGATATAGGCTAGAGACAACAAGGAATAAAATGGCTCATTTAAATACATTTCAAAATGCTTCATAGCTCTACTGTAAGGGCGATTATGATTGGAGCCTATGGGCGACTATATTGACTCGTATGTAAACAGCATGAAGCAAAACGCCGAAGGGTTGATTACCTGCGAAATTTGTCCCATTCCACCGATGCAAACGTTGGAGGCAACCACATGTGATGCATGCAATTCGGAATAACAGACCTGTTACAGTCTTGTCATATAGATTCATTTGCGTTCTCCTCTTATCTCATTTCCATTTAACGATCCACTTTATTGCGATGTGTCTAAATCATTCAGCACATGAGCGAGGACTACGCTGACGATGAGCTCGCCAACAATCCTCTGTTCACCTCCGATACTCGATCAATACAATCACGCCCTATAAAAAAAGATTAATATGGCAGAGCCTGCTAACAAGCCTGCACATTCAGTTCCAGCAGGCAAGATTCTCACGAGCAGACCTGTGCAGGTCTGCAGGGACTCGCAGCAGACACTGTCATATACCTCTGCAGAGGATGCAGCATAGGTATGTGACAATGTCTGCTGCGGGTCTTCCAGGGTCTGCCACGATGTTCCCTGCAGACCTACACAGGTCTGCTCGTAAGAATTTTGCTTGCTGGAACTGAATGTGCAGGCTTGTTAGCAGGCTCTGCCATATTAATCTTTTTTATAGGGCGGACATCTCATATCATTACCAGCCTTTCCGTTAACGGCTTTGCTCTTGTCGAATATGGTAAGTAATATGACGAGATACAGACAACGTCCGACTGTGAAATTATCTTTTCGAGTTTATATTAATACAGCTAGTGCAGTGACGTCCGTCCAACAGCGACGTCAACACTTTTAGATGTTCGAGTGTCCCTCCGAAATCAAAGTTAAAAAGCCAAGGCGACGATGGTCTCACAGACTTGCCGCATTCATGTTTTCCATCTATACTTACCTGGAACATGTGCAAATTGTTTCAGTCGACTAAAAAATGTATTTTTTGCTGCCGCTCGCGAGTGCGATGTAGGTGTACTGGAATTATATCGCATTGGCTCACGATGGGTCACACTTTATCATGTGCGCCACAAACAACACCTCGCACACTCAGGCTGCCGCTCGCGAGTGCGATGTAGGTGTACTGGAATTATATCGCATTGGCTCACGATGGGTCACACTTTATCATGTGCGCCACAAACAACACCTCGCACACTCAGGCTGCCGCTCGCGAGTGCGATGTAGGTGTACTGGAATTATATCGCATTGGCTCACGATGGGTCACACTTTATCATGTGCGTCACAAACAACAGCTCGCACACTCAGACACACACGTCTATAATTCGATTAACGGGAGACAAAGGACGTTGACACTTTCTTGCATTCATTCATCTCTTCTCATCTATCACAAAAGATTGCTCATCCATCTGTCATACACACAAACAAACCTCTTCGATCATTCAAGCAATTATCTATTCTCCTTGCTGATTGTCGTCGTATGCAGGTAACCATGTTTCACTGCTAAAACGCACACCAGTCAATATCATTTCGTGACTTTACTACATCTATTATAACTCAATTACCGCCGAATAACATCATCCCTAGCAAACCTTCGCTCTTTAGTGGTACCAAGTCTTCACCGCACGCGTCTGTCACATTGCAAATGGACGACACAAATGACCGTACTGCAGAGACCAGCAGCAAACAACCAAAAAGAAAAGAGGCGCTCGAGCCGCTAGTTATTCATGAAATACGGCCATGGTCTTCATTTGCTGGTGCTCCAGCTGACGAACAAGTTCTTTCCGATATCGATAAACCACCATCACATCCATGTTTGTCTAAAACACCACGCAGTGAACGCTTACAACAAGAGAATGCTCATCAAACATTATCATCGAAGCAAGAACGAACAAATCGTTCTCGATCGGCACTGATCGATCGAAAAACGCACCATCATCATCGCCATAGTGAACTCACATGGCGTTCTCTTTTGTGTACCATGTCCGATATCAATCAAATACTGACGTACAAAAGATTTCTTCCCGGTCATCCGTGGTTGCAAAGTCTGCTTATTTTTATTGATTCGTGCTTTCGCGGCATCGGACAAGTGATGTTCGCCAATAATCCTTTGTCGGGTTTCGTAAGTTCAGAGCAAAATTATTTTTAGAATCAGCGTTTGTAGGGTTCCTAATCGAGACTAGCGAATAGAGAGAATTGTCGAATCGAACTGGAAAATATTAGCCTGATGGTACATTTATAAGGGTCTAGATAAATACAGAAAAACGACATATGTACGTATGCACCAGTTAAAAACTGGTGATAGAGCATCCGGGAGAATTGCTACAGATCAATTACCAAGATTCGCTCATAGCTGCGGAACGTCTCATTTTGTAGAAAAATGTTTGCTCTGCACAATACATTTGTTGAGAAGATTCCAAAATCATTTCTAAG